CATCCACTGACTTCAAACATATCCATATATGGTATGGGCCTAGCTACGTTTTTGTGTTTTACAATCGGGAAATTACTGGTTGGTGATCAAATTGGAGAATTGTTTTTTTTTTCTTTTTGTTATAAAAAGAAAGAATTACGTTGATATTTTATTTGTGTCAAGTGAAGCGGGAAATCCTCAACTTTGGAACGAYACTTGCCACAAGTGGGACTCTCTTCGGACTAAAATAAATTTCGAGAAGATTGCTGTCAAATATGCTGTCTGCTTGTTTCAAGAGATCTACCAGGATCTTAAGGCATCGTTTCAATGCCACCTTTTCGCAGAAACTAAGATCTTGTGCAAGATTTCCTTATCAAGAAGAAAATGTAGGAAAATGGTTTACAAAAGAAATTCCAATACCCCATGATCCGTTTCATGTGAGAACAATAAACATTTTGAATTTGACAGAGAAATGTCCTGATGCTGATACCTTTTCTAAAGCATTGAAAGGAGGAGACGTTTTCAGAGTTCTGTTCCATGGCACAGACCAGAAATCAGCACAAGACATTATAGAGAATGGAGTTCGCCTCGATAAGCTGCACAGCGAAACTGGACCAGAAGATTTTAGCTTCGGTAGAGGATTTTACTTAACAGAAAACCTTGAACGAGAAGTACGTGGTGCTTTATTTTGGGCATTCGATAGCCCTTCTTGTAATGCAAAGCAAGCAGTTCTGGTTTTTAAGATCCCAAATGATGTTATTGACAAGTATCGCGCCAATGCAAAGATCCTCTCTTATCACAATCAGGAAGAGCTGAGATCGTTCGTAGAAAAATTTAGAGCTGGTGAAACACTGCAGCGAGAGTTGGAGAAGATCTTGGAGAATGTATCCTATGTGGAAGGGCCTGAAGTGAAAATGCTAGGAAAACGCATTGTTGATGTTCTTGAAGGAACCCACCAGATCTGTATACTCAGTGAAGAACTTGCAAAATGGTTTGACCGACATCTGGACTCGGCCGTATTCGTTAATAAACAGTAACTCTTTCGAAAGACTGTTTTAGTTAATTAATTTTTTGGCATAATCTTACTGTTTAATTTTTTTCAACTATTGTGGAAACATTTTTTAGAAAGTGATAAATATATAT